GGGAGAGAAAACTGTCAGAAGAGATTCTCAGCGATTTCGGAATGACATTTTAAGTAAAAATTTTTAAAGCGACAAATGATTACAATTTGAAACATCAAACCTTAAATACTGTAATTTAAAGTCACTCGAAATTCAATTTTGTTTTTTTTAATTGATAATTAAATAAATAAATATTATGAGTCGTGCAGCAATCTTTTTTTTTCTTTTTATTTTGAATTATTTTCTTTTTTTAAAAAGTTTTAAACTTTGTAGGACATTGCATTAGTTTCACATTAAGTTTAGCTGAATTAAGTTGAAAACTTTTTTCTGTAAAACTATAAAGCGTGAGAGCTTCTCCGCTTTCCGTCCTTGGTCTCCAACCATATACCGTCCCCCTTCCTTGTTCAAGTTTCCCCATACTGCCACTGATTTGTGCCCATGCATGCTTACTAAGGCATATTCAATTGATTTAGATGAGCACTGGTAGATTTTTGAATAAATTTGGCCCTGGAATGATTAAAAAAATTACTAGCTCCAGTGACGTAGCATTTTTTTTTTTAAAAGAGGAGGTCAGCCAAAAAAAAAAAATCATTTACCCCAAAAAAACTTGACAAGCCAAGAAAAAAATGTAAGCCCGAAAATCCTATTTCGGGGAGGGGGTCCAATTCATAGCCCTATTTTTTTCCAGATACATGTATATTACATTACCCTTAGTGGACTATACTTCAACAAGAAATGGGGGTGGGGGGGGGGGGGGGTGGGGGGCTGTACAGTTTCAATGAACATTCATTTTCTGTAGTAAAGTTATGTCGGGGAAAAAGGGGGGGGTTTGATTTATGTGACTGTAATTTGTCCTAATCAATAGGACCCCCCCTTTTTTTATACCAGTCATTAAAACACGGTCGTCAGCATTCATTATATACTAGATATACAGCTTTGAGATAATGTAAATGTATTTTAACATCAGGTAATGAACATTTGGAATCAACATGATAAAGAGTTAACACAATATAAAGATATTTTTAAATTACATAAGAAAGAGTTGACATAACGTAATTATATATCCACATCACGGGAATGGAGTTTTGACATAATGTAACAAAGTGTTGATATAAAAAAATATGTTCACATTATGTTATACACTTTTTACACCACATAATAAAGCACTGACATAAAGGTAAGATGTGTTCACCTCACATCATGATGCCCTCGCCGTAAAATAAAGATAAATCTATATCACGTAATAATGCTTTGATATAATAGAAAATTATTAGAAATATACACTCTCAAACAGGAATGGGCTTTTGGCTTCATGTAATGATAAAACACAATTTACTTGACGTAATGCAATTTTGACCTCACATATTAAAGAAATGAAATGATGTAAAGAAACATTCATTTCACGTAATAAAGTTTTAATACAATATAAAACATTATCACTTCACACAATGAATTTTTTACTTCAAGTTATAATTGCTGACATAGTGAAAGGATGTATTTACTTCCTGTAATGCAGCATTGACATGATGTTAAGATATATTTACATCATCTCATAAAAAATGGACATAACGTAAAGATATGATCACATCACGTAATGATAAATTGACGTAATAAATGCATAGTTGTATGCTATAAGGCAGTGATGGGTTCCATACTTTCCCAGCAAAATTCAATAGATATGGCAAACAACTGTGGTCCATGGGAAATACCTCAATTATAACTAATGCACTTTCAAATGACCCCTATGAATATCCGGATAAGCAATCTGCAACAATGCTAGATATTGGTTTTAAACAAGGTTTTAAGTTGTTGTAAAGAGGGCCCAGAACTCCATTAAAGAACTTGGTGTCCGCTAATGAACCGGGGGGTTTTTTAGAGGATATGATACTTAAGGAAGTCGCGAGGGTCGAATGGTGGGTCTATTTCTAGACCCCCCCATTCCCAAAATCTTCATTCGGTGTTGTACCTAAAAGCGACGGCGGTTGGCGTATGATTACGCATTTATCTTACTCACCGTCGTCCAGCATTAACTCAGTTTCAGTTTCAGTTTCTTTATTTCTTTAAGCCAACTGGCCCATCAGAGTTATACAACAAACATGATAATAACAAAAAGAAAAAAACATACAGAGAGAGTGAACGTAAAGAACACATACATGGGAATAATTCTATACATCAATTTTATTTTTTCTTAACATTGTTGCTGCGTTCAAAAATTTGCCCAAATTTACAATTTAAATTTGGGAATTAACAGCTAAATTTAAATTTTAAAAACACTAGGCCTAGTATAATAATACTTTTTCAAAAATTTCTTTCTTATATCAATATACAATGGACATTTCAAAATAAAATGAAATTCATCTTCTATATCATGGAGATTACAACATGCACATAATCTATTATTTTTTGGTGTTTGGTGTCGACCTGTTTTAATATTCAACGTGTGATTAGATAACCTGAATTTTGTTAATAGCTGTCTTAATTTTTTGTCAATAGGTTTTGTTAAATACCATTGCAAACAGAAATTGTCAATTAAATGTACATACACCCTAGCGATTCAACTGTTAAATACACATCTTTTGACACAGTAGTGCAGACAATTAGCAATTTGGAAAGGGGGGCCCAATAGCAAAAGCAACATCAAAAGCGCATTTTCCCTAATCCCGTCATCCAGGGGATCATAATTATTGGGCCTGTTTTTTTAGGGGGGCTTATTATATTTTCAAAATGTTGCCCTTGGTTTAATATCATGTAAAATTTTTGAAACATTTTCATTGTTCCTGGAATGGGTGGTTAGGAAACAATCGGGATTAAACATGACACACCATTATTTAGACACTTTTTTTGGGGAAGGGGAGGCCTAGTCAATGTCTGATTCAGCTAAACACTTTCCAAAGTCTGTGTACGGAAATGGGCGTTCCTCTTAATAAGATAAAGCCGGGGCCCCCTTTTCCCAGGGTCCCCACGCAACACATTTAAGTGCAAATAGTCAAGTGACATGGGGCACTTCAAAACACATCATAGCATTTTGATTCTGATGATCTGATGCACCAGAGTAAATTGGCGATGCATGGGTAGTGATATATTTGATATTTAGCGGGTTTTATGCATGCCAAGTTGAGTGGAACCATCAAACAAAAAAAATGTTAAAAATTAAATGGCTTAAGACGTTCGTTTGTGAAATAAATATAAATGAAAAATTGTAGTACTTTTTCCCTGCTATATTTTACGAATATTCCCATAACCTATATACATGTAACCGATTGATTCTTATCGAGTTTATTAGTTAATCTAGTATATAGGCCAAATTCTATCAAAATTAAGTATTATTTGCCTGATGAAAGGAAAAAAAAAACATTTTGAATAAGTATAAAGAGGCATTTTTTTCTTTTTCTAGTTGAATTAAAGTTGCATTTTATAAGTTTTTCGTGCACCTGTATTAAAATACCATTCAAAAAACAAATAAAACAATATAATCTTCAAAAAATGGACATTTGGGGTTAAAATTAATCTTTAAACTTTCAACAGACGTTTTTTTTAATCTTTCTCTTCAAACAAACATTTTTGTATGCGTGCACACCCAATTATTTTCCTTAAACTAAAATATTTTTCCCCATCCTTTTCAATAAAGTAATTCGAAAATCCCCACAAAATTTGGGACTTTAAAAAAAATTACGAAGTCACCCTTAGTGGCATTGTTAATATCACCTGTGTAACCATTTATAGCAGTCCTTAAAATAGACTGTTTTTTTCTATAAAGTCCAAAATGCCTTTGTAAGTTCATTTCACATTAAAATAACAGAAACAGGAGGTATTAAAAAGATGAAATTAATACAGCAAAATCCTTCCCTGGTTTCAATGAATCACTATGGACCTACAAAAAAAAAAAAAGAAAAAAAATCTGATTAAAAAATTTGATTGAACTCGAAAATTGACAGAGAGGTCTTTTCTGATGGCTGAAGTTGGACGTCAAGATATTCCTGAAGGCAAATATACCAGGATTGTCCACATGATTGTAGACTAGCGCCATTAAAATAAAGGGACAAAGACACAGATTTGAAAAGATTTTTTAAAATTTCTGAATAATATCATGACTTTCACACGGAAGTAAAATAAAAATGTGCCCAAAACTAAGTTTAGCTGAAAGTTTTTGAAACTACGAATTTTGGGGGGGTTTGATTGACACGTCCTTGCACTTTCACAAAGTAGACTGTATCCTTTTTGAAAGAATGGACTACATGTACATAGATTTGATTTTATCACATAAATCCAATTTTTTGAATAAAATTTCGTATGAACAGACAGGCAAACTGTAGGACCCTTGAATTTTTAAGGACAGACAAGACGTTCCCCAATCATATATAACTTTTCCCAAAATTTTGTCCTTCAAGAAATACTACTTTAACATATTTACTCACGAAAAAGCGAGGTCCTTACCAGGCATTCGTGCGAGATACCAAAGGATGGCATTTCTTACATAATCCTTTGGGGAAAAAACTTATTATGCAAAAATCATATTTTTAGTGTTTTTAAGTTTTAAAAACAATTTAGAAACCGGTTTAGAAATCAGAAAGTAATTAAAATTTTGTATATTTTTTATACATAATGAAGATATACGAAACAGATATTTTGGAAACGTATCGTCTGACTTTAAACTAAAGTTATTCTGTTTTGAATTAAAAAAAAAAAAGATTACACTGAAAATTACTAGAGCTATCATCATACAAAAAAAGTGTCAGTGATAAAATAAAAATACTTCTGCTCACACAGAAAACTGAAGACAGGCAGAGGCAAATATATAGATAAATACATGTATACTAAATATATAAAAAAGATAAATAGGAAAACAGAAGGACTGAATCAACACACAAACAAATAGTTTATTAAAAAGCTGAGAGAGGTAAGAACACAGGTGAAATATGGCTGCAAGACGAACGGCCAAGGATAAAGAGATATTAACTTCAAATAGACAGACAAAATAAAAGAAATACAGACTGCAATGCAGTTTGGATTATATTCAAATGTTTACTTACATGTTCCTGTCTGTAGTCGCACGTTGTCAATAGCAACGTCACTTCTATATCCCCAACCTCGGATTACCTCCAAGTTTATCTACACAAAATAAAGCATAAAAATTGGTTTTTTTATATTTCTAAAATGTATCGACTTTACTTCAACACATTTCTGTACATTGATAACTATACATGTATGATTTTTTATACAAAGTCAGTAAATGAAAACATACTACAAGATTTGGAGCCGAATTTATTGATATAGCTGCGGATTTCCAGCTCCGGCCCTGGTTACCGGACCGTGTCCAAACCCTCGTCAAACTCCCGTTTGACCCTGCATTGACCTCGAACGTCCCCATTCTATTTCCGTACATGTTGTATTGGAATGTTAGACACCATGGGCTCTCCTCTGTAGAGAAAATTCAGAACGGTATTTATAATACACCTTGTGAAAATGTTCCGCTAAAAGGTCAATAATTATCTTTATCTGAACAGATTTGTTTTGGAAACTAATTAGATTTTATCTACTAGGCATGCCAAAACAGGATTAGGAAACAAAATAATGATGAAAAATCGGGTAAGTCATGTAACGTTAGTAATCAGAAGATTAACAGAGACCTTATGAAAAAAACCCAATACATTATAAACTTACGTAGCTGTGAGCCGGCAGTGGTTAGTATGTAGGTGGTTCCCCAGAACCGGAAGGAAGCCTCGGTGTAGGCGAAAATGCCGTCCACGGGGTATTGTGGTCCTGTCTTGTAACTCGGAGTTCGCTGAGGATAAAAAAATCACTTGTGATCCCTTAAACTATTCACTTTATTTTTTTCACCGCATTTGACTAAACTTTAATAAATATCTGTCTGAAAGTATTCATTTTCGACGTAAAAGAGGAAATGATTTGCTACTATTTTCAATTTCTAGGCACTGAGTAAGTAGGGAAGCCCTTTTAATTTGCCACATAGCCATTTCGACTCCGGACTTACCGTCCCAAATCTCCAGTCATCTCTGTCATTTGTGGCCTGAGATAGGAAGCTACAGGTATTTCCGGTATTGAAGTCACACATCACTGGCCCGACTTTTGGAAGAAAAAATCAAGTTTATCATAATTAAATATGTTTTTATTGTACAATGAATGCAAAAAACTGAATTAATGAACTAAAATTATGATAATATCGATCTTTGTTGATACAGATATAAATTATGCTGAATTGCAACAAAAATTAATAATAATAAAGACAAGCCAAACGTGAAAACTTCTGGAAAATATCTACCTATGACGTCACAAGCGTTCCCACCGAACCCGCTAGTACATTGACAAGTAAACCCTGTGGTTGTTTGTGTACATTGTCCGCCATTTTTACATGGGTTTGTGCTACAGCCTAAAGGTATAAAAACAATTAAAAAGTCTTTGTTTCAGAAGATTCACTCCTAGAAGAATTTTAATGGGACGAACTTACCGCAGGAACCCTGGGTAATGCGTACGTCATCAATGGCGATATCACTCTTGTAAGAACCACCCCGAGTTGCTTCGAAAAAGATCTGCAATGAAAAAAGAGTTTAAAACTTAATTTCATCTCAATTATAACTTAATTATTTCTTGTTCGATACAAGTTCCTCTTGCATTGAATATTTCTAGCTACCATGCATGGTAGTTCAGTGGTAGAATGCCCACTTCGTGATCGGGAGGCCCGGATTAAATTCTAGTTCGCCGCGTCGAGTCAAAAACATGAACACAAAGGGATTTATTTTTAGCTAAGCTCACGACACTAGAAGAGAATCACGGGGCTTGCGGATGAGAATTGAAAAACCGAGGTCCCGTGTCACGGTAGGCATTGGCATGGGAAACAACCCTCAATGCTTATTATTGGTCCTGGATGTCGAGTTTATGTTTAAATTTGAAACCCTTTACCGGCATCTCTACATGTACGTCTCTACATCTATAAATAAATCACTTACCACAAGTCCCGTGGCTGTCGGTACGTCTACAGAGGCAGATAGCCACTGGTTTCCTTGGTTACCCTCACGTGACCATAGTAACGTGATTTCATTGTTTATATTGCTGGAGTAGATTTTTAAATCCCCCATTCCGGTGGAAGATCCAAACATATGGTAGTCAAACGTTAGGCACTGGGGATTGCCTACAATAAATGATATATGTAGACTGAGATATATGGTAGTCAAATGACATTTATGGAAGTCTACAATTATACAACATGTGTAGATACAAACATATGGTAGTCAAAATAATGTTAGACATGTTAGGGGATTTTCTATAATTAATCACATGTGTAGATTGAAACATACAGTAGTCAAATATTAGACACTGGGGGCTGCATACAAATATATGACATGTGTAGATTTCAATAAGAAATTTAGCTTAATTCTTGTCCTTTTTGTAAATTCAAATGCACACTTTTTTTACGTTCTGTTGATTGAAAGGAAATATTTTTAGCCAGGTTTCAATAACTGAAATACATTCTCACAGTTCAAAATATTACAATGAATTTTATTATAAATGCTAAGCGTTAAAAAAAGGAGTTGTGCAATACTTGATATCGCCATTACTGAACTTAGCAGATCTCTTTCGCGATGTAGGTAGGAAACGTCTGTTGGCTGGGGGCAAATAATGTGATATTGAATACAATGCAAGATCTATCATTGTATAATTTATAAGGACAGATAAGTAAAAAATCCTCGTAGAATACCTCGCTAAACAATAACTGAACCACCCTAATCAATTTTCGAGAGGAGTCAATCCTTAAATGCTACATTTTTTAAACGATATTTTTAACTAAGCGGACTCTTCTCATTAAAGTTTCATTAAAAATCGTCACATTTTAAAGCTGATAAAATGTTCTACACTTTTCTTTTTTGACAGTCTACCATTTGGAGTTCAATCCTTGGCAATACATTGTACTTTCGGCATAAAATTGTTCGAATCATATGATTGCCACTGCTGTAAACAATGTCATGTGCCTAAGAGATCTAGAGCTTTCTTGCCTCCTCTGCAAAAGAGCGGTAATAAGTTATATAACTGCGAGGTAATCGCGATATTACGTATTGACGTCTTGGATTGTAAAGTAGAGCAATTTATGTCTATTGACATACCTTGGAAGTTACTCGATGTCCTTAGCACCGCCCTGTCTCCAGCGACCCTGGGGTTGGACGCCTCTATATACGCATAACGGGTACCCTCGGACGCCGAGGTCGGGCCCGTGTTTCTGGAGGGGGTGGCTCCCTTTTAAAAGAACCACAACAGAATTATTACAGTGTATAATGAACTGATAGTTAACACATGAAGAATGTCAATTTTGAACTCTGAACTCACCGTTCCTGTGAGCACCCAATCAAAATTGTCCCTGAACAGATCCGGCGCCTGTAGACCAATAGGAGGAGGGATCAGATTACGTAAGGTACAACTGGCTCCGTCCTCAAAGCTACACGAAGCTGAAGGGAAACAAATGATATTTAAAAAAAAAGAAGGAAAAAAAACTTCTTCGTATATTGTTGGCTCTTTTGATACGTGTAGTAAATGATCCATAGAATGAACTACCTTTAAATAATAATCATTCTGTGTTTCCGGAAGTGACGTAATTCAACGATTTTTGATAATCTCATCGGTTGCTACTTGTTGATTTAAACGACTTTGTTTCTTTGATGTATACTGTGAAATCACTAAATCTCGTAGGGATGTAATTTTCGTGTATTTTGTGGTATGTAGAAACCCACGAGTTTATGTCCACCATGTAGAAATTACTACACAACGAATCTTCATCCACGAAATTAAATCCCAACGAACCCATATTTTTCCTCAAACCACTAAAATTTAATCCCACGTTTTCACAAAATATTTACAGAAGATATTGTTAAAAAAAAATTGTGTTAGTATTTTTGAAATTGTCGATATGCCTTCTATCGAGCCATAGCTAGCGTCGATGTTTCACACTTCAGATCTACATAAATGTACCTCTATCTTTAATGAAAGTTTCAAGTTCTTGTGATAAGTAGTATGTTAAAAAAACTACAGAGAAATTCAATCTCCATATATCACTAAATCACATTAATCTTCGGATCGGAACTGACGGCATCAAAATAAAAAAATATGTTTCATGTTTTTTCATTGTGTTCTGTCAAATCTGAATTTTTCATGAAAATCGAGCAAATTGCTTTCGATAAATCGCGTGTACAAAATCGAAACGAAAAAAAGAAGAAAAACAGTGACAAAGAAACCTTAGTGAAACAAGAAGGTCTTCCGCTAAAGACAGAAAACAGATGGAAAACAATAAGGTCTTCTGACGGAAGTCGAAAGACCTTAATAGCTTGATTGAAATTTTGTTGCTAGGAAAAAAAGCAGTCTTCGGACCGATTTTTCTGCACAATGATGTTACATCTTTCCATAAAATACATTACAGAATTTTATTTTTACCGTTTACCTTCATATACCAAAATCTTTCAACATTATAATCATGATTACTCAAGGTTTTCTACAGAATCTCTTATTAAAAAAAGCTTTTAAATATCGGCAAAAAAAAGTCCATACATATTTTAAATGAGAGAAAAGTCGTTTGAAACTGAATTAATAAATAAATAAAAAAAAATACTGCCCCCAGGGGAAGTTAACGCTGACAATGTGACAATGTTTGGTAAGGTCATAACTTTGCAATAAATGCATTCATATAGATATTGAAAACATATTTACAACTCTAACAAGACATCCGAAACACCCTTTTACAATCAAAGATAAAAAAAATGAAAAACCAAAAATTGAAAAGTTGGATATTTTGAATTCTGTTCATTAAATTCAAATTTTCCAAAAGATTGTGAAAAGAAATGATTTTGAAAAAGAAAAATGAAAAACACATCTGGCATCTTCCCTAAAAAATCTGAAATCCGTCCACTGACAGCTGAGATATCGAAGGTACAATGAAAAAATAATAATAATAACCACCACCATCATCATCATAGCAAACAGACTGGAAAACAATTAGTTCTTCTGAAGGAAGTTGGAAGACCTTAATAATAGTGAAAAACAAACAACAGAGTAATAAGAAGGTCTTCCACTGAAGACGGAAGATCTTAAAAATAATGAAAAGAAGAAGAACTAGATACGATCTCGTTGCAAGCAACGAGGGGTCTTCCGTCCGATTCTGAAGTAAAAAACGAAAAATCTAGCAGAAAAAGTTATAAAAAAAATTCGGACATTCGGGGGAGCGAACTTGGGTCGCCCGCGTGACAATCCGACGCACTAACTATTCAGCCATTGGAAACACCGCTTCAAATTTTTAAATACGAAAATCTCGAGATTGCCTTTTTTGATTTTAAAACAGATTACATATTTTGCATTCGAAAAAGAGTCACTGTTAAGATATCTAATATCAAAGAAAAATATTGGAAAACAAAAAAGATGAAAAATTCCGTTTTTTTAAATTCGCTTCCGGTATCGACCGGAAGCACTGACGAAAGATTTGAAAGTATAGGTGCAAAACTACAAAATGTCATCTATTAGTCTGAAAATGACAACATTCTACCTTTTGTCGTTTTTGAGCTTTTGTGTCGATAAAATGGTCACTAAAAATTCGATTTAAGGGCGATAACTTCCGACCGGAAGTGATTTTTCAAAAATCAAAAAAAAATAGATCAGGTTTAGGTCATGATACATGATCTCTGAAAATTTCAAAGAAATCCGTCCATGCATCTCAGAGAAATCGTTTGCACAAAATTTGGACGAAAAAAGAAAATAATAGTGAAAAAGAAACAATAGAATAATAGAAGGGTCTTCCGTTGGGGGCGGAAGACCCTAAAAACAAAAAGGTCTTTCCAAGGAACTCGGAAGACCTTTAGAATCATTTTGTATTCTTTGCCACAGCACTTTTGCAAGAAGAGAAAACTACTGTATTTACCAACAGTAGGTGTTGTAGAAGTTGTTATTGCTGTAGTTGTGGTGGTTGTTGAAGTACTGGTGGGTGTGGTTGTTGATGTAGGCATGGTCGTAGTGGTGGGCGTGGTTGTTGATGTGAGCATGGTCGTAGTGGTGGGCGTGGTTGTTGATGTGGGCATGGTCGTAGCAGTGGGCGTGGTCGTAGTGGGCATGGTTGTCGTTGTGGGCGTGGTTGTTGATGTTGGCATGGTCGTAGTCGTGGGCATGGTTGTAGATGTGGGCATGGTCGTAGTGGTGGGCGTGGTCGTAGTAGTGGGCGTGGTCGTAGTGGTGGGCGTGGTCGTAGTGGTGGGTGTGGTTGTAGTAGTGGGCGTGGTCGTAGTGGTGGGCGTGGTCGTAGTAGTGGGCGTGGTCGTAGTTGTGGGCGTGGTTGTCGTGGTGGTGGGCGTGGTCGTAGTTGTAGGCGTGGTCGTTGTGGTGGTTGCCAATGATGCTATAAAAAGATCAACTCTTTTAAAATTTCATTGGTGCATATCGTTTACCTCGAATACTACTATCAGTAAAACCATAAACCAGAAGTCTCTGTCGAGGCTGAAGCTCTACTGGTTTGTACTTTAGCAAAGGAAGAGACTTTGGAATTGAAACTTTACAACAGCAATAATTAGTAAGTAAGTAAGTAAGTAAAAAATTAGAATAATGATCCTTAATTAAGTCTCTTTATGTTTTTAGTGTAGTCTACTCGCATGCCACATTATATTATGATCAGACTAAAACTTAAATTTGGAGTAGCATTTTGAGAGTATTTGACAGAAATTTCTATTTTTAGTAACCAAGGCAATGATGTTCATCGAAGTCAAAAACTGATATACATAATTGTGTATCTGAGTGTAGTCTACTTGTTTGCCAAGTTATATTGAAATCAGACCAAAACTGTAGGAGACGTTGCATTTTCAGACCTGTTTACCCATTTCGCTGTCTCTCAGTATTTTTTAGTAGATTTGTCCGTGAGATTTGGCATTTGCCAGTAAGATTTCACTTTTCATCGATTTTTCATGTATTAATAGAGAAAAACTGCTCTTCTGATTACAAAAACATGGTTAAACAACATGGTCTTTGACCTTTTATAATACCACAGCGTTTTGGCAACCCGACATCGCTTATGTGTTTGAAATCTTCCCCTTTTAAGAAATTAAAAAGCGTGAAACTAAGAGAGATCATAATGAAAACTATGTGCGAAATAGTAAAGGAACGTATTTCCAATTTCCGTATTTTCATAACAGCAAAACGTGAGACGTATTTTAGACCAAAAATCCGTAAAAAATACGGCGAAATCGTAAGAGTAAACAGGTCTGCATTTTGAAAGAATTTCACAGAAAATTCTATTTTTAGTAACCACGGCAACACTGTTCATCGAACTCAAAAACCGATATACAGAATTATGTATCTTAGTGCACTGTAGTCTACTTGTGTGCCAAATTATATTGAAATCAGACCAAAACTGTAGGAGGAGTAGCATTTTGTAAGAATTTCACAGAAATTTCTATTTTTAGTAACCATGGCAACATCATTCATCGAATCCAAAACCGATAAACAGAATTATGTATCTTAGTGTAGTCTACTTGTGTGCCAAGTTATGATGAAATCAGAACAAAACTGTAGGAGGAGTAGCATTTTGAAAAATTGTTTACAAACAGACAGACAGACGGACAGCTAGACGGACGCATTACTATATCGCATAAGCTCTTCTGGTCTCTGACCAGTAGAGCTAAAGCCGTTTGTTTTTTTCAGATTTTTTAAAAAGAGGCACAATGTGTTTTCAAAGTCATGCCCATTACGTATAATCATTTTATAAAAAGTTGCTGTAATATTTTTTTACTTTCAAGTAGCGATGCATAAACATGCGTTAGATATCATACCACATGTAGCACTAAGCAACTGAACGTTATCCAAAGCAATGTCACTGAGATGCCCGCTGCCTCGAACCCCATCAAAGGATACCTAAAGATATTGAAAAATTTAAATTATCGAAAATGAAATTGAAGAAATAAAGATGAAAATTACAGGTACAAATGCATCAGATATATCATTATTTTTGGTAAATTCATGTTACTGTTACATCCTCACCCTAACATTGGAGACATTGGGAATTTCCACCTCCGCATAATTCCATTGGTTTCCTTGATCACCAGAGCGTGACCAGGCCAAGGTTCGGGCCCCAGTTCCGCTCTGATAATAAACGTTTAATGTCCCCATATTAGCTCCGTACATAGAATAATAAAACTTCAAACACCGGGAGATGGCTGCGATCGAAAAAAAATAATGTATGAAGAAAGTCTGAAAGCATAAAAATATACAGAAAGGAAAGAAATAATATAAATGACGATAAACGAACTCACCCAATGAAAATGTGACGGCTGATGACGTCAGCGTAGCAATGTCACCCGGCACGCGTGGAGAAGACGTTTCTAGGTAGATATAAGTTGACCCCTCTTGTGCCCCCGGTGGACCAGTGTTATCCGTGGGTGTAGGTCCCTATAATTTAAACATTTAAAATACTGAGTATGTCCATTTCGAGAAAAAAAATCACTGCTTATCACTAATTTTTAGCAACACCTTTTGTTTCGCGAGATCGTCATTAACTCTTTATTAGCAAAATGAAATTGTATTTGGGTGGTGTTATTCCTTAATATGAAGTGTACAATAAAAAGTTAGAAATCTTGATCTGAATCAGCAGATTACATTGACTAACTTTAAATATAAAGTTAAAAAGCCAGCAGTGGATGCCGCAATATACAAATGTCGCATTACCGATCTGAGGCTCCAATCGTATGCGTTCCCCTCGTTTTGTAGGAAGGGTAATCCAGCCCCGGTCTCAAAAGTTGCCGTCAGGCTGGAAGCTGTTATTCAAAATAATAATTAAAAGTAAATATTAAAGTTCCATTAAATTTACAGAAACAAATGTATTAGGCGACAAAAAGTACTACATTCTTCAGTTTTAAGTATTTTGTGAACAACACTTGAACAATTGGATATAACATTAAATGTGACGTATTTTCGTCTACTAGTATTTTCAGATTTAATTTACAATTGCTGAACCGTTAATTTCTGAATACAATAACAGATGTAACTCACTGTCGGCTATCTGGTCACACCTGGTTCCAGAGAACCCGGTATTACAAACGCAGACTCCATCCGAGCTACGACAGGTTCCAAACATACAGTGAGTATTGAGACAACCTGAAAAAATGTGAAAAATTTAAAGGTAACCGACCGTATACTAGAAATGCTGCCAAATACTCAGGGTTTCTTCAATCTCTACTAGACATTTAGATTTTTGCTTTTCTAGGCATCTCAGAAAAAATTCAGTTCTAGTTTATTTACAACTGTATATGTCTTTGCTACGATAAAAATGATATGATGCGTTGATAATTTACGCTTTTCTTATTCCTAGTAAGTTGCTGGTTTGCTCTGCTTTTGTAACATAAGAGTTGATATTTTGCGCTGGTTTTATAACATTCTAGAGTTGATAGTTTGCGCTGCTTTTTAACAAAGAAGTTAATGGTTTGCGCTTCTTTTGTCACATATGTGTGGATAGTTTGCGCTGGTTTTGTAATATATGAGTTGATAGATTAAGGTGGTTTTGTAACGTATGAGTTGATAGTTTGCGCTGGTTCTTACCTGAGTTGATAGCTCGCGCAGATTTCTTACCTGAGTTGATAGTTTGCGCTGATTTCTTACCTGAGTTGATAGTTTGTGCTGATTTTTACCTTAGTTGATAGCTCGCGCAGATTTCTTACTTGAGTTGATAGTTTGCGTTGATTTCTTACCTGAGTTGATAGTTTGCGCTGATTTTTTACCTGATTTGATAGTTTACGCTAATTTCTTTACTGATTTGATAGTTTGCGCTGATTTCTTACCTGAGTTGATAGTTTGCGCTGATTTCTTACCTGATTTGATAGTTTACGCTGATTTCTTACCTGAGTTGATAGTTTGCGCTGATTTCTTACCTGAGTTGAGACTTTGTACTCGGATGGAGAACCCCGCTAATGCCGCCCGGTTGGTCGTCAGACTGTCAAACTTAATGATCATCTGACTTTTGATTTCGTCGTCTGTCGTCACGTAAGCTTCATTGTTTCTGTATCCACATAATCTTTAAAAGAATAAACGGACAAAAAAATTATCAATTTTTCTTTTAGCACCAAGTTGACTTGTGATCGATGAAGGCTTAATCTTAAAGTTATTAATTGACAATTGGACTTTAGCGAAAAGCACTGACTTTTACAGTTGACGGTTTACTTGAATGTTTAAACCTGTGATCATATACAGAGCTACAAAATTTATAATGAATTTATACAGGTAAGAATATCTTCCTAGTGGTCGAATGTATGCTGTTAGGGTCACCAAAATGTGAAGGCTGGGAGTTGAGGGTATGGTGGTTGTCATTTTCTTCAATATATTTATATTGTAAAGGGGCTTCCGTACATTGTCCTAGTGTAAAGGTAAGCCGTCAACTGTGAAAGTCAGCGCTCCTCGCAAGAGTTCACTGATATTGAACTCGCCTTAATCTTTATATATTGAGATGAGAATTGGGATATTGACTTTAGCTAAATCTTTATTAAACTGAGTATTAGTCGATATTTTGACCTCGGCTAAATCATACTATATATGTGTAGCTGACTATTGGTCGATATTGACCTTGACTTAATGTTTACTTATCTTTCTACCTTTGGCAAAAATCACTGACTTTTCAACAATGGAAGAATACACGAAAGCTCTTTTGGGTTGTAAACCTTTAGCCTAGCTAATAATGAGGCATTTCAAAGCAAATATTACGTTAGGGGGGTGTCTAGGGAGGTGAAGGAGAAACACTCCATCCTAACACCCCCATCCCCCCACCCTCATCCTACCTTGACCAACTCCTACCAAGTTTTCTTTCCAGAATTTTTGGTGTTTGCTTATTTGATTCCTTCAGAAAATGAGATTGAAAGCAAAAAGTACCCCTTACCAATAAGTTATGATTTTCTGCCTCTCATTATCTTTTGTGTTGACTGCATTCTTGTAGGTCATGTTAATGCTCCCAAAACAATTCCTATGACCACTAGTAAGTTTTTTTTATGTATAATTATTCCGTATATCTCCGTACAAAACCGTATGTTAAGTAGGCCGTAGAGTAAAAAGTCAGTGCTCCTCGCAAAAGTCACGTGGTCAATGTTAAATTCGACTAAATCGTTAAGTATTTAGCTGACTATAAGTCGATACTGACCTCGGCCTAATCAGTATCTATTTAGCTGACTATAAGTCGATACTGACCTCGGCCTTATCATTATCTATTTAGCTGACTATAAGTCGATAATGACCTCGGCCTTATCATTATCTATTTAGCTGACTATAAGTCGATACTGACCTTGGCCTTATCATTATCTATTTGGCAGACTATAAGTCGATACTGACCTTGGCCTTATCATTTTCTATTTAGCTGACTATAAGTCGATACTCACCTCGGACCCCTCTGTCCTGCCAGGTTATATCGAACCTCCAACCAGTGGTAGCAGTAGGTGTTGATGTAATTCAGCGCCAAAGAATCTATAGACAACTTTATATGGTTTTCTGGTGGACCCTAGACATAAATATCAATGAATAGATGTGGAAACTAAATAAAAATATCACTGAATAAAAATAAATTTGCAACAGGTCATTGTATTATCTTTATACACACCCTGTCTTCGATGGGTCAGACAGACTTAGGTACGTCAATTATTTACAACTAAAACTTAAATTCTGTCAACAATAGAGGTCACTTAAGCCAGTTTAAGATAACGTAACGTGGAACTTAAAACAATTCCAAATACTAAAGGCCTTGAGAAATTAATCGAATGAGAAGGGGACGGGTCCGTCATATAGAAGAAATGCAGCCTAACAGGAATATAGAAAAGACGGAGAGACGAAAGCAGTCTACCCACAAGTAGAAATGTCAATTAATTAAAATGAAATTGATAACATAGAAAAATAACACTGATAACGCAGGCTGGTTGATCTGTTTAAAGTCAAAGTTAGATTGATCTTGACCTTCCTTAGGTATGTATGGTGTAACCAGGATTACCTTGACCACCCAGATGCACCTCCTCCCCAGGTTGTATGAGTTTGGCCAGCCTGGTGTCGTGATGGTCCGCTCCTCCCCCGAGGCCAGCTCAATAATCCCCCCACACTCTGTTAACACAAGCGTAGGTTACGTTTAATTACATGTAACCATACTTTAGAAGATCATATTTTGCATCCTATGCTTAGTAATCTCTGTTGTCAATACATAAGACTTAATATCAGTTAAACAATTCCTATAAAGAATAAGTTTTTTCTCTCCTCAAGACAATATCAAAATACAGACCTGAGTGAGTGGACACAATTTCACATGAAGTTCCGTACAAGTCAGCCGGGCAGTAACATTGACACGTGTGGAGGAGGAATCCCCCGTTTAAACAGGTGGGCGGATTTACACATTGTTCTATAAATAGAAAATTTGTAATTGTGACGTCAGGCTTACGAATAAATTGTTCATTATTGTGATGTCAGTCTGACCTATGAATAAATTAGTAATCGATTGTGACATCAGTATGACATAAAGGTATACATTGGTAATTGTGAGGTCATTTTGATTTAAGGTACTTTTGTAATTGTGACGTAATTTTGACTTATTAGTTCATTGGTAATCAATTGTGATGTCACTTAGAATTACGAGTACATTAATAATTAATTGTGACATCATTAAAGTGACGACCTTAAAGTTCATCGGTAATTGTGACGTCACTTTGATAAAAGATACTTTTGTAATTGTGACGTAAATTCGTCTTATAAGTACATTAGAAATTAATTGCTACGTTATTTTTTACTTAGGAGTACATTGGTAATTAACTGTGACGTCATTTTAAGTTACGAGTACCTGTGTGATTCAATGTGACGTCATTTTTACTTACAAGTACATTGGTTATTAATTGTAATGCCATTTTACTTACGAGTACATTGGTTATTCATTGTGACGTCATTAGTACATTGTTCATTAATTGTGACGTAACTTTGACTTACAAGTACATTAGTAACTTATTGTGGCGTCACTTTTACTTACGAGTACATTGGTAATTTATTGTTACGTCTTTGGTGTCATAGAACATCAGTCCTACTGCTGTGTCTGCTAAGAACGATAACCGACTATCCTTGACTGTAATTGTAGGATAGCGAGAGTCGACTGCAAACGCCTGAAAATGTAAATGCGATAATACTCAACATAGAGCACAGGGGAAATTTCCACAAATTTTTATTTTCACATCTCTATGATAATACTTTTTACGAGGTGATTGACTTGATTTTTGGTCTGTGGCTTTGCATACCTTCTGAATTTGATTACACTAGCAGCTGTTATACAGTCGTTACGTTTTGCAGTCGTGTCATATTTTGGGCGTAAAAGAGTATCTTATATAAAACATTACGACTGTTTTCTTACATTGAGTCTGTACTGTAGCACGGACGCCAGGTCGTACGGCGTGTTGTCCCGGGTCGGGATTTTGTACATGTTTCGGTTACCAGTGCCGCCCCGGATGTTGGCCCAGTTCATTATGACGTAATCGTCTCTGTCCGTTCGGGATGCCGTGTTCCATTCCTATAGCGTGCATTAATTCGTGGATGATAATTGGTATCTGAAAAAGAGAATAAAAATGCTTCAGCGGATTAAATAATTGCGCAAATTTTTAATGCTAAAGAGTTTATTCCGGATTTTCTAACACACTTTGTGCCCCTCGGTAACTCACTTTATCCCAGCAATCTCAACTTACTGTCACACAGCCTGAGTTCTGAAGACTGAGCTGTTGCTGGCCCCAGCCTATCATCCCCACGTACGACCAGCAGCCCCTGTATAAATAAAGCAGTAAAATCAACTTGTAACTTCTACATAAATAAACCAAAAAACAAACCAGAAGTCTCTGTCGAGACTGAAGCTCTACTGGTTTGTACTTATAGCAAAGGAAGAGAAAATAGATGAAGCAAATGGCAATTGAAACTTTACAACAGCAATAAACAGAATAATGATCCTTGATAAAGTCTCTTTAAGTTCTTAGTGTAGTCTACTTGTGTGCCAAGTTATGTTGAAATCAAACCAAAACTGTAGGAGGAGTAGCATTTTGAAAGAATTTCACAGAAATTTCTATTTTTAGTAACCATGGCAACACCTTTCATCGAAATAAAAAACCGATGCACTATTTTATGTATCTTAGTGCAGTCTACTTGTGTGCAAAGTAATATTGAATTCAGACCAAAACTGTAGAAGGAGTAGCGTTTTAAAGGAATTTCACAGAAAATTCTATTTTTGTGTAACCACAGCAACACCGTTTATCGAAATCAAAAACCGATACACAGAATTATGTATCTTAGTGTAGTCTACTTGTGTGCCAAGTTTCAATGAAATTAGACCAAAACTGAAGAAGGAGTAGCATTTTGAAAAATTGTTTACAGACAGACGGACAGACAGCTAGACAGACAGACGGACGGACGCCGGACGCATTACTATCGCATAAGCTCTTCTGGTCTCTGACCAGTAGAGCTAAAAATTATAATAATAAAACCTGTGTAACAGCAAAAGTAAGAAACACAATCAAAATATGCCTCATGCAATGCATAACAGCTCCTAGGTAGTATTTCGTACAATACGTGTATATAAAATAGAAAAGGGTAAACATAAAAGAATCATAGGGGATTAGGCGTCATATGCCCACAAGGATTTTGTCGCTCTGTAACTTGTGTTCACTTTAATAAATGTATTTGTTTACAAACTACTTTATAGAATGGTATGATATTTTCAAAATATTACAACAAATGAGTCTTCACAACAATTGTGGAAAGAAAATAAAATATTACCGATGAAAACCAATGTTCCGTGATGAAGCTTAAAAAACAATAAATCTTTACTTTGCAGCACGTGTTTCGTGTAATTAGCATCTTTTTGTGATCATTATCAAATTTGAAAAACTGGTTTCACTAAAAAACACAAAAGATTGGCAAAATGACCATTGAGATAGAAGGGAGAGCCGTTGGAATGTTGATATCTGGACCATCCTTGCACCACGTTTTACTCACTTTTATTTTAGTGTTTAATTGCCCTTGATATTACTTTTAAAAATTAACAACCAGTATCAAAACCCATTAAAACACATTTTTCTATAGCCTGTGCGTCATTTTTCACCGTAAATTCATCACAATTTGAAAGTTTTGGACAAAATCTAACCAAACCGGAAGTGACCTTGATCTTCGTCTGAGGACAAAATTTCGCGTCACACCAGGTTAAAAGAGTGTTAAATTGTTCTGAAACAGTCTTAGAAACATGAAAACAAACAATTTCAATCGTATGAAAATGATAAGAAATCGGTGCTAGTCACAGTATAATATCAGCTCAAGCAGTCTGAAGCATCCTTAAATCGGTGCACTTATGTACTAAACACCCTAGGATATTGACCAAAAGGCATCTGTGTGATGATACACTGTCAAATTCCCGGATATGAATCTCATTGAACACATTTGGGATTTTTATAATGAATGTCAAAGCACCCCCCTTTCCACACAATTTAAACGGTTTTGAAAGATCTGTACAGTAGGTGTGGCAGCAGATGGGTCAATCTCCTATTCAGGGGTACATGGTAACCTACAGCAAAGATTGTAAAGATTGTCTTGTAGTAATTAGGGTGAGTGGTGGTCTTACTCCATAGAGATTTTTTTGTGTGAATTTTCATTTTGAGGGTACATCATTTCCTTGACACTTTGCTTAAAATTCTGACGAGATACGTACATGAAATTTATGCAACATCGAACTTAAATATGCATCATTAACCATGAATGAAAGAAATTATTTATTGTAGCATTTGTTCTTTAAAACTTAAAAAAATGTTAGGTGAACACAAGTTTGGTTCAGTGTATTTTTAAACCTTGCAGTTATCGTTACAGTATTTTTTAATGTGATGCTTTTCATACTTCGTGTTAATTGTTCTATCGAATATGTTTTCAGGGGCTGGGAGATGGTACGCTTTAACGTTCCTTTTAACTGTTTTTGCATACAGAATAACCATATCGTGCTGATCTACCCATGATTGTTTACATTTCAATCGTGCTATGTAGTCTTGAACTGAATGCATTCAAAATATTATATACGCATGTATCTTGAAAACTTGTTTATTATAGGAAATATATTAATTTACCGTAAATAAATTCATCATCTTATCTATTAATTTTATTTTAAGTGAAAAAAAATATATTTATCTAAATTTCAAGCTGAACTTAAAAAAAAAAATCTTGATTCGTACACTCGCGACAAATAACTTATATGTATAGCAAATTAACGCACAGTTAGACTTGAAGGTTATTGAGAATATGTTCCGAAATTTAAGTAAGTAAACTAACTTTTTTTTATATAGAGTGGGTCTTCGTACCATTTTTTTTTTTAAAAGGGGTCTCCTTCCATAGCCTTTCAATATTTGTTTTACACAAAAAAATTTTTTACGAAGACCCACTCCTTCTA